TTGCCATAGCCCCAAACTATCCAGGCTTGAGCGACCAACCTAGCTCATGAGCCTCTAACCGGCTTGACTAAACCAAAGCCTCAAACCATCCAGGATTGAGTGACCAATCCTTGCCCTAGTCTGAGCAGTATGAAAAAACAGGTGGCATTGAGCCTCAAGACGTCCAGCCTTTATTGACCAATCCTAGGTCTTTTGCCCCTAACCAGGCTTGAGTCAATTTGAGACTCAAACCATTCAGGAGTGGGTGACCAATCCTAGCTCTTGTCTCAGCAACATGACTGAGCCTTAAACCATCCAGGATTTAGTAACCCGTCCTTCTCTTTTCTCAATATAAACCAGCATTTGGACTTTTGCTTTACATTATCCAAGCTTGAGTGACCAATCCCAGCTCTTGAGCCTTTTACAAACTCGAGCCTGACACCATCCAGGATTGAGTGACCAATCCTAACTCTTGTCTCAGCAATTTCAGGCATAGCGCTCACTTACTGCAATGTAAATTTGAAGAGTTCTCCAGAAACATCTGGAGTTATTTCCAAACATCAAATGATTGTATCAAATTGCTCAAGATTTCACAAAACCTGTTATTACTTTCTTTCCTTTTTTCGGTACTGAATTTACAGTTGCCTGCCATGTTGAAGAATCTCCTTGGTGAAGATGTGTACACATGTAGGTAAGTTGTGATAGATTCTGTCATAAACCTCGGGGAAGTTATAGATAATGCACAAACTGTATATTTGATGTTGGGAGTGAGGTTTGTAATTTCTTCTGATGTGTTCAGAGAAATTAATAATACTGAATTCACGTGCAAAGGTGCTTTAAGAAAGTCTTTTGAAATGTTTGACGATTGAAAAAAATTATTTATCCTTAGAATAAGGTTTTTTCAAGACTACTTCACGAACATTTTTTCTGATAATTTCATCCCCTCACCCCATTTTGAACTCGGCTTTTCTATGCCCGATCGTTTTTGGACTTGACATGCATATAGACACATTCATTATCAGTACAGCGGGGAAGTGTCAATTCCATCCGATGTATGGCTTATTGTTGCTGTCATTTGAAGCCTTATTCCTGTCAGCTTGCATGCACATCAGTGGGAAATGTTGACATTTTTGGCTGATGAGCTCCCTTGAAAAAATAGGTGCAGTGGACTGCAGCCCTAAAATTGCATCAAAAAGACTGGATGATATTACCAGAAAATTCCCTGCAGGCTTGGTGTGTAAAAATGCACTGTGAGGAGATACATGTAGGAACACGAGGGGGAGATTCCCCCCCCCGGCTCTTTTCAAGTTCAAACAAATTAGTCAAATCTCAGCAATGAGAGATCACAGTACATTTTTCAGCTTTAAAATAACAAAGAAATTGCTAGGTCCCCGTCCTTTGTTCCCTATTAGTCTCAGTCCTGATAATACAAGGTGATCAGCAAAGTCCCAAGGACCTGTAAATGCATAGCTGCGACGAATTTTTCTTAAGGACAAATTTTCGTCAACTTTCCATCTTCTTTAATTGTATAAAAAAAAACTCTGCAATCCTTTGTTGTTAAGTGCATCGAAAACAGCCTCTTGTAAACAGTTTCAAATTATCCGTGCTTTCCTGGACAATTGAGGGCGCAATTGCTTGAAGTCATCAAGGGAACACATGGTTCACTGCGTCAGTGTTTTCAAATTGTGAACACAGAATTTTACCTACTGAAAACACCTCTCAAGGAGGGATTGATGCTTTCTTGTTGCTATGCACATAAACAGCAATAAATCAACAAAGTAGTAAAAAGCCGAGTCCAGTAAAATCTACAAAAATGCAGGACTTGTTTACAAAGCATTGAGGCTTATATCCTGGGATGCCAACACAGTTTGGCTCATTAACATGGAGATACTCGTACATGTAGTTATCAAAAACCAAAAACGGTGGTGAAGTGCCCTTTGAAATTAAAATTGAAAATAAGATTAACTGAGATACAAAGGTGCATTTTGAAGGTTAAGTTTATTAAAACAAATTGATTGCGCCTGACCTTTAATGAGTGAAAAAAAAAGTGAATTGCAAAATAAACAAAGTACTTTTTTGTTAAAAAAATAAAGGTATTCCTTAATTTCGTAGTTCCATTTTCTCAGTAATTTAATGTGCATGTAATGACAGTGGATATTTAGCCGTTGTTGGCCAATTTAACTAAACTGCTGTACATGTATATTTTGCTGGGCACACGTGCAGTAACTTTTTTGACATAAAAATTCTTACTTTGACAAGTCTGGCTCTGCGCTAAAAAATCATTGTGACTTCTCATTCATGAGGTGGGAATCAGACCATTTTACAATTTTGGTTTTCTTGCCCTAAAAAAAAATCCTCCAGAACCAAATGTAAAAATGAAACTGTAATAGTTTAATGTTGGAGTCAATTTAGAAATAACCAAAAACACTTTTTATTTCTTGGCCTAAAAAAAGGTGGACAGCTTTGGGTTGCACTCAGCTGGGAGCATGTTGTGATTTTTGATGTGCACGCTATTCATTAGTTTGAACTTTATGATAATCTGATGATCTTTATCGGCTTAATTACGCATGAAAGAGGGCGCTGGCTACTTGTAGCCAGCTAAATACAGTACCATTAGTTAAATTTGGCAACGACTAAACATCCACTGTCATATAATGTCCTGAAACACACTTGCTTTTTTTTTCTTTTTTGTTCCTGCAGGCAAAAAAACATCAACAAGGCTGAAGTGGTTCCAGTCATCTGCGGTATTTGCCTCAGCTTCCTTTGGCAAACCTAGGCAGCACCAACAGTGCGCTACAATGCTCAAAAGACTAGATTTGTAGAGAAAAGTGCACAGATTACCTTGAGATGGTATACATGGTTTAAAACAGTCGTTTGAAACAGTTCTAAGCTTTTTGAAAAAGGGAATACTAGATTTGTTAGTTGAACTTGCACAACTTCTTTTCACACATAAAACCCCATATTTTTAGAACTACTTTTCAGGGTGTATTTTTGTCTCTACTTTTTTTTCTTAAAGGCATATCTGAGTAAATAAAACTTACAAAGCATAAGACAAATTGTTCACTCAAGTGCAGACATTTCAAAATACCCATTCTATGTACTGTTGGTGATTGCACTAACTTATCACAATTATCCCTTCAATTAAGCTCCTAACTAGGACTCGTAAATTGAGAAAACTGGAAGAATTCTACTGCTGTTATTTTGCCCTAAGTTTTATACGCAAGTTTCCTCAGATTTTAGGAACTTCTCATTCAAAATAAGCAGGTATCTGTTATGTCCATCATGTTCTTGGATATAAACTTAGAAAGTTGATAACAAAGTACATGTAGACTTCGAGGCTTACTGCCAAATTATGCACCAAAAAGTTGAAAATTAGGCCACCTGAGATTTCAGTCTTTGCAGAATCTCAAATGTTCTACAAGCACAGTTGATTTTTTTTGACAGAAACACAATTTACACGTAAAAATGGATATTTTGAAGAGGTTCATTTATAAAAAGGCTTGCAAATATATTTTGGAAATACAGCATACTGAAGTACATGCAAGGTCTGAATATTTTGTCTATTCTCTGTCTCATTGCATATTCAAATTTCTGCTTTTGTTATTTAAATCTATGCTGATAAGCTGTGCCCTCTGACCTTTTTCA